ATGGCTAAGCAACAGAAATGTTGCCAAATATGCGAAGTCACTGGTCAACTAACCTTTGACTTGGACCTCTTGAGACAGCTCTTCTTGTCTGAGCCTCCCCGACAGGTGCAGGTTGTTCTTGTCTGATTTCAAAATAATGCCGCAAATCAACTAACTGTATCTGCCGACCGGATTATGGAGATCGTCAGGATCCCCAGCTTTGAGGTTTATTCTGTCAAAGCGAAGCCCCGAACGACATAAAAAACGTTAGAGACCTGTCATACTCCCACTCGTTATCTTAATATTCATCATCATTGTAGACGTTCCCAAACTACTCGAAGAAGCTCGTCACAAAAAAGACCTTCTTCAAGATCGAGAGATGCAGATAATCCCGATCGGTGCTAACGAGAGATTGCACGAACCGATTTTTGACTTGGAGGCGGCAGATAGGAAAGTGATTGTCACATGTGGTAAGCGATATTTGTACCTTAACGTGGGTCTTTGTAAACCTATTCACTGAATTTCAGATATTTCTGTGCCAAACACTGGTGTAGACCTGCTACAACACCACGGAAACACAAACGTATATGTTTGTTTAACTTCCTTTTTCAGTTTTAGAGTTTCCTCAGTCATTGTCAGTCACATAATCGACCGACTCTACCGACAGATACTTGACAAGTTTCCTGATCTGTAGTGAACGCGAGTAAAATGACCATGAGTAACCAGCAACTTTGCACACCACATCACGACAACTGGACAACCTGCATCTCGAAAGCTCTGTTACTAGTTCTCGGAAAGTTAAGGTTGGTCGAAAACGGATTCGACCAGATGATAGACTTAGGAATTATTTGTCAATCGAACAGCCTATGAGCATCTCCTTTACAGGTCATCCCTGGAAAGGACAGCAACGACTGGCGTTCAACTGGTGAATATCGACTACTGAATGTGAAAACAATACCTGATCGCTACCCCTTGCCGCATATTCACGACCAGACAGCCACCTTAGAATTTACGATTGTCTCTGAAAATCAGTCCGATTAAAGCACATAACGGAATTCCTATGGTTGCAGGTGACATTTCTAATACCACTATCACCACTCCCTTTGGACTCCACGGATTTCCGTGCATATGATTCGGGTGATGAAATTTTTCACAAACTTTTCAATGACTCATCGATGACGTCTTTCGAGGTCTCATTTTCGTACGTGCATATATAGATGACTGCTTGGTCGAAAGTCCGATCATAGAATTTCATCTTCAGCATGCAAACCTTGTTTCCGAATGAATGCAAAATCACGGCACTGCCGTAAACATTCAAACATATCAGGTTGGTACCAACTCTCTAGATTTACCAGGACAGAATATCGGTGCTTAAAGCATCCGACCTATTAAAAGTAATGTGGTGGCCATTTGAGATTACCTAGAACTGATCACAGTCAATTAATTATGTACGTTCAACGGTCTGGTAAGTTTTATCGACGGTTTGTACCGAAGTGCGTGTTTCTCATGTGACTCTTAACCGAACAACTTCGTGCAAGTGTGAAAATCATCAATTTGGACGACAACGCGATAAAGGCATTTTCCACAGTTAAATAACTTATCACCAAAGCAACGTGGCTCACACACCAAAACACCCATTATTATCGCAGTAGATGCAATCGACTTGTTAGCAAGAGAGTCTTACAACAATCGGTAAACAACACTTTTCTGTCTTCGGCATTCCTCGCGAGACGGTTGCAAGACAACGAATAGAGGTATAACAGTTTCGGTAGCGAACTCCTAGCCGTGTACTGTGCTGCACGACATTTTCAACACTGTAGAAGGCTGTAAATCCGCCCTATTTGTCGAGCGTAAACCTCTCACCTCTCTAAGCTGATCTCCGGGAAAGCACTCCCGTCTTGAGAAGTCTTGAGAAGTGGACTACATTTCACAGTTAACCTCAAATATACAACACACCTCTGGGGTAAACGATGTATGCGTTGACGGCAACCGCAGCCGTTGAACATAGACGTCTGTTGCACATCAATGATGTGATGACGAAAGTTCTTTATCTCGTCAACACTGACACAAAAGTCTGTGTTATTCCCGCAAGTACTAACGAACGATCGCACGAATAGGTTTTTTACATACAGGCGGCAGACAGGAAACTGATTGGCCGAACGTCATTAGTTAGTGGCGTGTTCAGTAAAACGAAAATGTGCAGCATCAATGTCGAGTGCTTACAAGCCACTTTGAGGGACAATTCACAGATACAATGTTAATTAGGAATCCCTGAAATAATGCATACCAAGTAGACAGCACTAGGTGAGCATGTAGCGTGGAATCGAGTTGAGATTGACTATGAACACCACTACAAGAAGACTACGTGCCACTTAACCGATAAAATCTCCCGTAAGCCAAATATCAGAAGGCAATTGATGGCTGTAGTCGAGATGTATTTGTTGGCATGACCGAATTCATGCAAGGTCACAATCGAAAGATAATGGAGCAGTAATTTGGCTGCCTTTAGCACATTTAAACAAACGAGCACAATGAAACAGTTACTAGTACAATTGGTTATAATAATAATTGTTTTCATTAAACTAATCGTGTTCTCGTGATAAAAGTAAGTCACTACAAGCACAAACGAATCTTTTGTATTCGGAATTCGAAATCAGACAGTCATCAATAGTTTATGCAAACACCACACACAGTCATCTCGCATTTAATCATCTATTGTTAGTTAACTTTGCACGCGACTATATAAATATCCCCCCCTCGAACTAGTGATCAATATTTTTCTTGTCTTAAATATATACATTCAAGTTGATCATAATTTTTTTATTTCCTTCAATATTTTATGGTCTATTGCCAACTGAATATCTTTTTAGTCATTGTAGCAGAACAATCATCCTTAAATGTTAAGCAACTGTAGGATTCGCAACTGGTTAGTTATCTATATTAATTGACATAGACATGTCGAATTCACACAACTGTATACTCATTTTGGATAACAAGATCTTACCTAGCATATGATCATCAAATGTATTAATTAGATTCAGTCTGTTGTGGTTTGCTCGGTTTTATGATTAGTCCTAAACCTTTACTCGTAAATCTTTCTATTTTCAATGTTTGTTCGTCTGCCTACATGCTCAACTTATTCTATCATTCCCATGACCTACTATATATATACTATAGTATATGATACGCTTTTTATTGCACATTGAATAGATGTCACTTCATTGCATTCCATTCTAATTCATATTAGACTTGTCTAATGCTAGTGTGGGTTTAAGTCGTCACACTACAGTCCCGGATTATAACGATTTGTGGTAATCCTATCACCACTGTACCCATTAGTAATACAGTTCCTGGATATTCTAATGGTAGGGTTATTGTAGTTCCGATACAAGTAGGAAAATGTCTAACTCGCGTTGATCCAGTACTATTATTACGTCAGTTCAGTCTGGTGTCCATTCATTCCATCTTGATTCCGTTTGTTGTTAATGGGTGTATCAATTGGCCTAATTATTTGAATATATATTTAATAATATTACTATTTTAACTCTCGGTCAATGTATCCACAATCGGTTAGTGATGTTAATTACATAAACACGATACTACCTAATCGTAATATATTACGAATACAATTTAATTGTTAAAAAGACAATCGACTAGTGATGCTAGACGAACTACGTTTCTGAGCAGTAACCATTCATAAGAGTGAAAAAAACTAACTTAGTATATTTACTGACAGTCTCCAAGTCAAAATAATTGAGTAAAAGACTAAGTAGTAGTATCCTTATTTAATGAAGAGAGATAACTTATATACATATTCATTTAGTCATTATACTTTCGTATAAAATTAACATATAGTTATTTAATTTTCGGGATTATTACAGTGGGACAAGCCTTGTTAGATGTTATACCCGATCCCATCACGCTACTTATTGTTACTGACAACCAACATATTGTAAGATATTTGAATTGGAATCAGACTTGTTACATAACCTCACTAGGACGAGAACATTGGACCATGTATATGAACGCAAGCAAGAGTTAATTGTGCATAGAAGCTACACGACAACTAAGCAAATGCATGACCTGCTGTAATTTCGTATAGCGACTGCTTCTTAACTTACATTTCAAGAAGCATACAAATGGGGTTACTGTCGACAGAGAAGTCAACCCCCTTCAACGACCTGATACGATATATAAGGATTGGGCCTGACTACCAGGAATTAATTGATTACAGAATGAATGACCTACAAACTAATTGCCTCCAACCACACATGAAGTTTTGCTAATCATGTATCATTATTTTGTACATAACGCACGTTATCACAAAGAAAACCTATCATTCTTTGACCTAAACCAGTCATTCTCGTAGACACCTGATCAAACCACATCACCTATCCATCAATGCTCCTCTCATTTATCTTAACAGTTAGCATTTTGTCTCACCAACCAAAATCTCCATTCACAACACAATCGGATATCCCTTAACCACCAGCTGGAACTAAACGACGAAGTGAAACGAATTTAAGAAAGAACAACGCACTGTCATATTTACCAGTAAACATAATCCGTAACCTTACATATGTTGATTTAATTTTAATTTGGCAAATATACTTGTACCATGGTGTTACATAATGCATGAAAATGTATTCTTACTGGTTTCCTCACACACATCAAGGTTGAATGTGTTCGTAAAATAGATGTGCATCCGTACCACGGAGTGAGAGATCGTGAAGTTGGGCGTTAGGTTCGAGTAAGTAAGGCAAACCAATTAACAAGATTGTAGTGATTAACAGGCTAGAGGACTTAGTACCGTCTTGGTGTTAATAAAAATAAGATGGGATGAATCTCAGGTTAGATCAGACAAAGAGTACCATCAATTGGTGATTGACATGAAAATACAGTGATAGGTGACGCTTGTAATCCAGAAAAAAGCGGTCGGACATTACAAAAACACTATTTGAAGAAGATCGTGCATTTTCACCAATCTCTAGAGTATTGGTCTAAATTAGTGTGTAACTTTGGAGGCTTCTATAGTTAATACGTTATGGTTGGAAGATTACAAAACAAAGCTTTCTCCATTATATTTTTAGAACCATCAGACAATCAACCGATTGGAATGTATAAAAGGATAACTCGTAATTGAATTTATTAGATTGTTACTTAAATATTTTGCACAACATTAATGGCTGTTTTAATCAAAGAAATGATATTAAGACACGTAAATAATTAAGGAAATTCAGTTGGTTTAGTTGAAATGCACCATGGAAATTACTCAAAGTGAAATATAAAGCTAGAAATCGAAAATGTAGAAGTTAACATCTACAGACAATGGATTTTCTTATTCGTTTGACCAAAACGCATTCGATGAACCACCGGGAGGTTGAGCCGTTTTAACTGACGTGTGTATTTTCCTCTGACCAGGTGGTAAGGCCACTAAAAAATATTTAAAAAACAAGCGATGTGAGCTACAAATAATGTTAGTATAGAGTAAATAAAAAGTCGTTCAACGTAGGCTTCATGTTTTCAGTGCTTACATGACGACGGTATTCTTATCATGAGACATTGACGATTGTGTTTGCTCATCTCTCTCTTTGGGATATTATTATTTGATAGAGCCGCTGCATTACAAATGTAGTATGCTTACACAAAAGACACACCAAATTTGTTAGCCGAGTAATTAACTATACAGTCCGGTTATTTTCATTGCAATTCAGTTACATATAGTTCCATGTGAAAGTGATGGTCATTATAGTTATGTAGTTTAACGAAAATGTCACGAAGATAGTTGGAGGAAAACTAGCGATATCAAGTGATACGCGTTTGTTTAACTACTGACCTATTAAACTTAGAGTTTAGTTAGTTTACTGATATTGACTCTAATGATCCCCAAGTTGAAGTGTTGAAAAGGTTTAGGGGTTGGAATACAATAGAGTAGATTTTCGGATTATGACTGCATAAGAGTCAGTGAACATACTGTTGTTTTTGTGGGATAGACGGAATATGGTTAGTAGTAGAATTCATGATGCGCATTCCGTCCTGATTGGGACTCATCAACTAAATGTACTAGCATCCCGGTGTTGATACTCAGTTTCTTGATGGATTTTTGTATGTGCGAAATCAAACTATGCATAGCGTGAAAAATTAACTAACCTCTGGGTATATTATCATAATATTCTTTCCGAAAGTAGTACCCTTCCTTGTTATCATTTGAAGTTTCAGTAGTAATCGGAACTGCATTTCCTACGTATGGTTCGCGTTGGAGCATTTTAAATTCGGAATTGACACTTCTTTCCACTGAATCGACACGAGCATACACATAATGAGAAAATGGTCGGCAAACAAGCAGTTTTCCATAAGTGGAAGTGTTATTTGAAAACTCGGTATTCTGAACAGCAATATGACCACGTAATATAACCACTTCAGGTCCCGAATGATAAGCAGAAGTGTTAGAAAATAGGTTAGGCACACCATCGGGTAAAATGTTTTTCAAAACGTCTTGCTTATAGGAGTTTGACCAAACTAATATATCGGCGTCGGAACCGACTTCTATTCTGCCTTTCTGAGGATAAACATTAATTAATCTTGCAGGATTAGAGCTAGTTACTTTGACGAACGTACAAGGATCCAAAAATCCACTTTCAACCCCAAAATGCCATAAGGCAACCATTCTATAGCCCAAAGATGCTATACCACGAGGTATATGTACAGCACTTTTTGATCCAAAAGCTGCACGAACTGCAGTGGTTATTGCCCGATGACCTGAACCAACGCAAATCAAGTCTTCAGAGACGAGGTGAGTCAGCAACCTTCGGCTAAGATAAGTATCTGGTCGTAATGGAGGGTCGCACATGTAACTAGCAGCAACAGCCCAATTCTTTGAATGGGTCAACACGTCGTCAGGATGATCATCACAGTTTATTAAAGAAAGAGGAATAGCTATTGCGGGGATACTAGTTTGTCCAAATAATATACCTCTACACATACGGCGCTGTTCAATGAAGCAATTTAGTGCTGCTTTACTATGAATTCTAGAAATTAAAAGCGGACAACAAAATCCTGCATATTGTGAAAACAAAGATCCTTGCAATATACTATTTGCCTCAGCTTCTTCCGGTGAAACTAATAAATTGACTTCTGGACCAATATCGGGACAGTTGATTTGCACGTCTGAGGATAATTTCTCAGCTAACGACACAGAAGTAGCTGCTTCAAGCATTGGCAACGCTCCTAGTTGTCGACAAGCCTTTAAGAAATAACAAAATTCTTCTTCATTGATAATACACTGTTCACTATCTACCACAGATGAAGATTTTGAACCCACACGAACGGAAAATAGCACCACTCCTTTATCTTGAACTAAAGTATTCAGCTCGTTGTTCGTTTCTGATGAGAAGCCAGCCAACCGCAAGCATACACCATAATCGCATGCTAGGCTTTCATGGGCTGATGATACAAACTGTTCATATGCGTCTATTAGTGATTCCCCAGGATAAGCATTAACCGTGTTTACTAAGGATAAAATAAATTGGATACATATACGAAAACTCAAAACGAAACAAAATAAGTAGCCTTTATTTATCAAAAAAAGATGTGACGAGTGACTGTTTCTTCACGAGTAATAAAAGGGTGACATTTAGGAGAGCATATGTAGTAGTAGTCTTACCAATACATTCATGTTAATGATCTCTATGACAGCTTGAAACTAATCCTTAGTGTTTTTTAACTCACGACACAAGTTTCAGATAATGGCAACTCTAAATGCTGGTGGTGAGCTTCACCTTAACAGCGGGTTGTTTGCTCTAAATTACTTTACGGCTATGAGAAATATACTTTTAAGGTGTAGGAAATTAATAGGTTACAATAACTGACTATAAATATCTTCAAATTATTGATCGGATATAATGGGAACACCAAGTGGGTAATGCTGAAGTTGGGTAAAGTACTGAGCGAAAATGGCAAATGGGTTGACGAGTTTGTGGATACTCACCGACTACGGTGATTTGAACGGTTTTTTCGCTCTCTATGTTAATGAGTTTAAAGTGGTCAAACTGTTAAGATACATTAAGTCGGAAAGCCTGGTACTCACAAATTCTGAAAACAATCACTAAATGCAATAAGGATGAATTACCACTGCTTGGATTAAAAGAGAATAAGTAAAATCACTTGTTCAGTCAATATAAGAAGCTGAACTGGCAAAATATAGACACAGACTAATAGTGTAACCATGCTGTCTTTAAAACCCAATTTACTTGAGCATCTTAGTTGTTAATCTTCAATACATCGCGCACTTTATGTAACCTTCAAGACCCCTGATATTTCACCTCTTTCTGAAATACGATCGGCATTTCAATTGTTTGACGGAATTTTGATTTACAACCATATTAACTGACTCGTTCTCTTTATCTAACATTTACCTTTCACCACAGATGTACTTCGTGAGTGCACCAAATCAAAACAGTATGAAGACGGGGTTTTATATATAATATTTTGAACTACGTATCTTACAGTTGCATTGTACGACAACACAAACCGTCTACTTCTTTAGATAAGGATTAAAGATAACGAAACGTCTCAAGTCAAGTAGACCAGAGAAGTTCAAAAGAGCTAAGTATCGTTAGATGTCTGGTAGTAACCACTACACCAGATATGAACCAACTCGGGTACATCAAACCAACGAATCAATCTTCGTTCGTTAAGTTTTAGTTCAAACAAATTCTAGGCGGTTGGACAGTGTGAAAAAATCTGCAAACGCCTTTTAAAAGTTGGGCTAATGACCAAAGATACAAAAAAGTACTGTTGACAAACTTAGCTATTTTCACAGTTCGTTTATTAGATTTACAGCGCTTAATTGAGGCTTTCACTGTTTACTTTTGATTAAAATCGATAGTAAGTAGCTTTGACATTCCTGGAAAAACTTTATGGGTAACGCACCACTGAACTCAATAGAACCAACAAGTTTGAGAATACGAATATTGTATATTCTCTTACTAGCCTATTACGTGACTGTCTGAGGGATAGCATATTTTCTCGTAGATTGTGAAACAATACCAAACAACTTAAATCACAATGAATAATTCGACTTTTATATTATAAAACTAATTTGTGTTTAAAAGTCATGGGAGTGAAAATGTTTACATACCAATTGTAGTTGTACCACCAAAAAGAGCTGCTTTTCCTGAAGAGAGGTAAGTATCAGCTATAGGGTCATTCGAGGTTGCGACACCAATGTGACAGTCCAAGTCAATCCCGCCTGTTCGAAATTGTAAGTGAATTTATTTAAATACATACCAGGTAATAATAATTTATTACTTACGTCGATAATTTCTGTGCCGTTGGGGTAGCTAAGGTTTTCACCAACAGCCCTATGAGTGAAAACTAAGCGTACTTCACTTACTGAATAATACCATTATTAATTAAAACATCTGATTTGAAGGATACGTCATGGTTCACAACTGTGCCTCCTTTAAGCAACAGTGGTTTGGAAATCTTTGGAAATCATAGTTAGGAATCAAAAATCCTTACAGCAGAAGCATCCGGCATCGATGTCGATATCTCCAATCAATACAGCAAGACAATGAGCCCTAGTTCCATTCCTTATGATGAACGAATCACAACTCAAGGTTACAGTTGATTGCTTTTATTGGTCACAAATTGATGCATACAATCTAACGAACGAATCGTGATAAGCTCACATGATGACCTTGGAATAGACAAACAGGGTTGGTTTAATTGACTTGACAGATTAGTGTTTCAGAAACGACACGTAACTCTTAAATGACTCAGAGTTAAGTGGTATCCACACCGTTGCTGCCTATAGTTATTTGCCTACGCTTATGTACGACCGCTAATGTGCAGTATTTTTCTTTAATGTTTGCTGTACATTTGAACAAAGTTGCTAAACTTACTTCAGCCCGCATGATTGTTCAACAAAAAATGATTATTTGGTAGTTCACGTCACTGATTGATTTCAGTTAAACAGGGATTAGTAACCAGGATGTCTCATTAACAGCTATCCAATTCTCCTTGAATTCCACCAGTTGTCTAACTGATTTATACTACGTAATTTAACAACCTTCTACTATAGTAATAATAATAATTTGACATTTATACAATTAGTTTCCATAATTTCATCTAAATTATTTGACTTCCTGAGTTTCGTCTGTTACGAAGTTTCTATTGGTAGGTTTCTTGCTTGTAAGAAAACTCGATGAATGTCTAGTACAGTATTTGTGACTTCCACTACACACAAACTAGATGCAGGCATCATGTGTTTCTGGGATGCAGTTTATCTTAAATATGAGTTTAGGTTATCATGTTCAGTGTAGAGAATTGCATCTATTAATGGAGGATTTTCTAGAATCTACGTGGTTAAAGGGTCACATTTGATTATATTATTTAATGTATCCTTAATTTGTGGATGAATTAAGTTGCTCTTTTTAAAAAAACGGAATTTTAATTAATGATTCAGAGGGAAAAATGACTGAACTTGTGGTCAAACATCATTTGCATATACGTTCCCAGTAAAATCCAATACTTATCCATTTTATCGTTTAAGATGTTAAAACTGTAGACAATGCATATGTTGAGCAAGAATATTGATCATTTCTAGACCTTATTGATCCACTACTTTTCATTAATAGAAGTTCATTATTTGAATGAAAATCAATTGTTCTTACTTGTGTAATTGAGTTGGACTGTTTCTATGTGAAAATGTACACCAAACAAGTTAAAGCATTATAATCAATGAGGTATCAAAGAGGGCAATAAAAGTTACTTTTAACTCCTAGGTCCTGTACTCATCATTACCTAATTAATGTGACTACAATAAGTGATCTTAGTCAACACATACTGCATAACATGACAATTAAGTGTTGTTATTGAATCGTGGAATTTTTCATAACTCGGTTGGGTGATTTGAAGGACTCTTAATTTGTCTCCATTTACCCATATCGTTACATCATTACTCCCAGGCTTCTATGAACATACACTATTAATCACATGCTACGCCTACTTACACCTGTTACCTCTGGTGAAGCATGGGCCGCCGACCAGCATTCTCCACCCAACTTTGTCATGAACAATCCTTCCCAGTTGTTTCCAGGTGCTATTAATTCATTTGATGCTTACATTCAATCCGCGACTCAATGTGCTCGTTAATCTACACCTTTTCCGTTTCCTTTCAGGATTTAAAGTTAGCACTTGCCTCGTGATGGAGTCTCATGATTTCCACAATGTATGTCCCATCTAATTCCAGCGTCTTTCCGCGATTTCCTCCTCAGCAGGAATCTGGTTTGTTCTCTCCCACAGTAGGCTATTACTGATGGTATCCGATCAACTAACATTGAGTATCTTACGTAGATAATTGTTTAGAAATGTCTTTACTGTCTTGATTATGGCTGTGGTAGTTCTCCAAGTTTCAGTTCCGTACAGTAGAACTATGTTGAAGTTCTTGCTGAAGATTCTGACTTTGATATTGGTTGAAAGTTGTTTTGAGTTCCACAAGTTTTTCAACTGCATGAATGCTGTCCTTACTTTGCCAATACTCGCATTTATGTCTGCATCAGATCCTCCACGTTCATCGATGATAATACTTAGATACGTGAAAGTTTTCACCTATTCCAGAGTTTCTTCATAAGGTGTGATTGGGTTGGTGTTCACCGTGTTGTATGTGATGATCTTGGTTTTTCTCTTATATATTTTGAATCCTACTGCTGCAGAAACTGCCGCTACACTGACTGTCTTCAGCTGCATTTGTAGGTGTCTATGGGATAGAAGTGATGGTTCATCTGAGAAGACCAAGTCTTCTAGTTGTATGCGAATTGTCCATTATATTTCGTGCTTCCCCTCAGATGTGGAGGTCTTCATAATCCAGTCAACCACCAGAAGAAAGATGGTAAGAAACGATAGTAAGAAACCCTGTCTGATACCGGTCCTCACTTGGAATGCATCTGCCAGCTGTCCTCCATGCACGACTTTTCAGTGTAGTCTATCTCACGAATTCCGGATGACGTTGATGATTTTCCCAGGTACTCAAAGAAGTTTTTATAATATTTCCCTATCCTTACTGTCAAATGCTTCCTCATAATCAATGAAGTTGATGTATAATGACGAACTCCATTCGGTCGATTGCACAACAATGTCCGTGGTGCCGCGATTTATTCTGTGCACGATCGATCTTTACGGAGTCCGTCGTGTTGATCTCGAAGTTGCGCGTCTATTGAATCTTTCATTCTGTTTAACATCACTCTGTCGAAAAAATTCCTTGGTACCGATAATAGTGTGATGCCTCTGTAGTTCTCACATTTGCTCAAATCTCCTTTCTTTGGTATCTTGATTAGAAATCCTTTTTTCTAGTCTCTCAGAACTTTTTCTTTCTCCAATATTTTTCTTAACGCCATGTGGAGCACCTCCGTACTTACTTCTGTCTCTGACTTTAATGCTTCGGCTGGCACATTGTCAGCTTCTGCTGCTTTTCCACTCTTAATTTGTCAGATGACCATTTTGATATTTTTGATCGTTGATGGAGTGATATATGTAGGAAGGTCTGTGTGTGCTGCTTCGATGTTGAGGAGATTCAATGGGGCTGGTCTATTCAAGAGTTCCTCGAAGTGTTCTACCCATCTGTTCCTCTGTCCTTGAATTTCAGTGATTGGTTTTCTTTTCTTGTGCTTGATTGGTTTCTCTGGTTTAAATAAAGCCAGAACGAACATGGATGCAGAATAATATGAATTAATTGTACTTCGTGGTTTCTCATCAGCTGCTTACAACCAAATATGTATTAAAATTTTACATTGAGGTGACATAGTGTGGAGCAATTGACACCGAAACGCAGTTTGAGTATTTATATCAACAGTTGTCAGACCTGAAACCCATGAGTGATGAAAAAAAAGTTAGTTGAAATCAAAATTAGTGGATATTACAAACAGTACTTTATGACACCAGTCCCGCAATCTAAGGTGTTGACTAAAGATCATCAGAAAGCATTGAGAAAACTTATGAAAGACGAAACATTTTTGCTAATTCATCCAGATAAAGGTTCCGGTATAGTCATCCTAAACACAGATGAATACGTAGGCAAAGTAATTTCCTTTTTAAATGATCCCACTAGATTTATCATCGATAATATCCAGAAAGACCTAACAGATGCGACTGAGAAGCGTCTTTCGAAAAAGTTAAGAGAACTGAAAAAAATCCAATAGATAATCATACGTACAACGAACTCAAACCAAAAGGATCACAACTACCTTTCTTATAAGACCTACTTAATACACACAAACCCGACTCCCCGATAAGACCACTATTATCTATGACCAAATCACCCTTCCTTAATCTCGTCCGCTGGCTGACAAGGTGCTTAGAACCAATCCGCAAGAAACTAACACCCTACAGCCTGAAGGATAGTCTTGAATTTGCCCAAAGGCTTGATAGCTTAAATGCTTCTGATAAATTCATGGTCTCGTTCGATGTCTCATCACTCTTCACAAAGACACCTTCGGAGGAAATGGCAGATATCATATGTGAATATCCTGAACTTCTGCCTTCACCAATCCATAAATCCAAACAACTCCTGTTTCTGTGTACCGAAAACATGCAATTTCAATTTAACAATGTGTTGTACCACCAAATTGTTGGAGTAGCCATGGGTAGCCCTTTGGGTCCAATTTTGGCCGACATATTTATAGACGACCTGGAACAGAAGAAGCTCAAGCACGTAATCGATGGGACTACACTCTACTGTAGATATATTGATGACACATTTCTCGTCTGCAACAACCATAAGAACCTACTCGATCTGTTTAATAAAGCACACACGGATATAGATTTTAATATGGAACACAAAGTAGAAGGTAAATTCCATTTCTTAGATATTGGAATCAGACGAACCTCAGACGGCACATTACAAAGACACATTCACCACAAAAATACCTGGAGTGGAGTTTATCTCAGTTACTACAGTTTCTGTCCAATGAGTTAAAAAAGGGGTATTGTACGAAACCTTTTTGACCTCAGCAAAACTGACAGTGCTATGGGAAACGAAATGCTCGCTCAAACAAACTAAAATTTACAGGTCCTCTTTTTTAAGTAGCTCCAATTGCATTTGTCAATTTACATGTACGTGCCGAAGCACATACATTGGAGGGATCGAGAGAAGAGTACATGTTTTTATTTCCAAGCATGTTCCAAAGAAGTTGAGACTGCGAGGGACAAGGGCTCTTAACAATGCAATAGCTTGGCATTTACTTGACACCGGGCATGCCAGTGACATTCCGCAAGTTTTTAAAATTATTCGCAGACAAAGAAATGCTGCTTTTCTTCGGTTTGCTGAAGCAATTGTGATAAGAAAACTCAAACCTGACCTATGTGTTCAAAAAGAGACAGTAATAAACCTATTACTACCGTGATAATCCAAATTTTTGGTCATTAGTTTTATTTCGTTAATGTTTAGTTTGTGTTATATTTCTCTTCCATTACCGAAGTATTACTCTATGTACCACCTCTTCATTCATACATTTCCACTCAATTGATTCTCTTAAATTATGTAAACCCTTCAAATCTTGTTCAGTTATTACGTAACCCATCTTACCAGTT